TGTAGATGCCACTGGTTCTTCACGTTCTGCAGATGTAGATGCCACTGGTTCTTCACGTTCTGTAGATGTAGATGCCACTGGTTCATCAGGTTCTGGAGATGTAGATGCCACTGGTTCTTCACGTTCTGTAGATGTAGATGCCACTGGTTCTTCACGTTCTGTAGATGTAGATGTCACTGGTTCTTCACATTCTGCAGATGTAGATGCCACTGGTTCTTCACGTTCTGTAGATGTAGATGCCACTGGTTCATGACGTTCTGCAGATGTAGACGCCACTGGTTCTCCATGTTTTGTAGATGTAGATGCCACTGGTTCTTCACGTTCTTTAGATGTAGATGCCACTGGTTCATCACGTTCTTTAGATGTAGATGCCTCTGGTTCTTCACGTTCTGCAGATGTAGATGCCACTGGTTCTTCACGTTCTTTAGATGTAGATGCCACTGGTTCTTCACGTTCTGTAGATGTAGATGCCACTGGTTCTTCATGTTCTGCAGATGTAGATGCCACAGGTTCTTCATGTTCTGCAGATGTAGATGCCACTGGTTCTTCACGTTCTGCAGATGTAGATGCCACAGGTTATTCACGTTCTGCAGATGTAGATGCAACTAGTTCATCACGTTCTGTATATGTAGATGTCACTGGTTCTTCACGTTCTGCAGATGTAGATGACACTGGTTCTTCATGTTCTGCAGATGTAGATGTCACTGGTTCTCCACGTTCTGTAGATGTAGATGCCACTGGTTCTTCACGTTCTGCAGATGTAGATGCCACTGGTTCTTCACGTTCTGTAGATGTAGATGCCACTGGTTCATCACGTTCTGGAGATGTAGATGCCACTGGTTCTTCACGTTCTGTAGATGTAGATGCCACTGGTTCTTCATGTTCTGTAGATGTAGATGTCACTGGTTCTTCACATTCTGCAGATGTAGATGCCACTGGTTCTTCACGTTCTGTAGATGTAGATGCCACTGGTTCATGACGTTCTGCAGATGTAGACGCCACTGGTTCTTCATGTTTTGTAGATGTAGATGCCACTGGTTCTTCACGTTCTATAGATGTAGATGCCACTGGTTCTTCACGTTCTTTAGATGTAGATGCCACTGGTTCTTCACGTTCTGTAGATGTAGATGCCACTGGTTCTTCATGTTCTGCAGATGTAGATGTCACTGGTTCTTCACGTTCTCTAGATGTAGATGCCACTGGTTCTTCACATTCTGCAGATGTAGATGCCACTGGTTTTTCTCGTTCTGTAGATGTAGATGCCACTGGTTCATCACGTTCTGGAGATGTAGATGCCACTGGTTCTTCATGTTATGTAGATGTAGATGCCACCGGTTCTTCAGGTTCTGCAGATGTAGATGTCACTGGTTCTTCACGTTCTGCAGATGTAGATGCCACTGGTTCTTCATGTTCTGTAGATGTAGATGCCACCAGTTCTTCAGGTTCTGCAGATGTAGATGTCACTGGTTCTTCACGTTCTGCAGATGTAGATGTCACTGGTTCTTCAGGTTCTGCAGATGTAGATGTCACTGGTTCTTCACGTTCTGCAGATGTAGATGCCACTGGTTCTTCACGTTCTGCAGATGTAGATGCCACTGGTTCTTCAGGTTCTGCAGATGTAGATGCCACTGGTTCTTCACGTTCTTTAGATGTAGATGCCACTGGTTCTTCACGTTCTGTAGATGTAGATGCCACTGGTTCTTCATGTTCTGCAGATGTAGATGCCACAGGTTCTTCATGTTCTGCAGATGTAGATGCCACTGGTTCTTCACGTTCTGCAGATGTAGATGCCACAGGTTATTCACGTTCTGCAGATGTAGATGCAACTGGTTCATCACGTTCTGTATATGTAGATGTCACTGGTTCTTCACGTTCTGCAGATGTAGATGACACTGGTTCTTCATGTTCTGCAGATGTAGATGTCACTGGTTCTCCACGTTCTGTAGATGTAGATGCCACTGGTTCTTCACGTTCTGCAGATGTAGATGCCACTGGTTCTTCACGTTCTGTAGATGTAGATGCCACTGGTTCATCACGTTCTGGAGATGTAGATGCCACTGGTTCTTCACGTTCTGTAGATGTAGATGCCACTGGTTCTTCATGTTCTGTAGATGTAGATGTCACTGGTTCTTCACATTCTGCAGATGTAGATGCCACTGGTTCTTCACGTTCTGTAGATGTAGATGCCACTGGTTCATGACGTTCTGCAGATGTAGACGCCACTGGTTCTTCATGTTTTGTAGATGTAGATGCCACTGGTTCTTTACGTTCTGTAGATGTAGATGCCACTGGTTCTTCACGTTCTGGAGCTGTAGATGCCACTGGTTCTTCACGTTCTACAGATTTAGATGCTACCACCGCCATCTATTGTGCGGCGGTTTAACTTACGGCTCTCGGTCCAAACAAGCAGCAACTGGACATACGGACGGGTTTGTTTGTATCTCTGAAAGTCCGTAAGTCGAATGTTCATAAGTAGAAGAGTGCATGTACTGACAACCACGAGCTCGGCCAGTTGCATCAGTCAGCATCTCTTCCTCCACGCGTGCTGTAATCGGATCAAATGAATCGGCAACAGAATGAATTATAAATTATGTTAATGTTTTTGGCCCATATATGGAGTAATTGGGCGTGGCTTTACCCATATAAGGAATATTAGAACAGAAATCAACGAATTGTTTTACCATCCAATGCTCGATTAAATGGGAATCGACCGATTTAATCTCCTGTGTTTATGTGTTCAAGCATGAATTAACCGTGGATCAAGCTTGTGACATTTTTGAAAACACATTTTTAAATTGGTAAAGTGATCCCATCACGTGATTCCAAGACCTAAAGACAGGATTTGTGGATCGCCACCCCTTGAACCCTGACCGGCTTCCTTCCACATTAATATAATGTATAATTCATTCTGTTGTGGATTCATTTCACCAGTTGACAGTGCCATTCTCCATTCCTTCCCCTCCACCAGCCCCCCAAGTACATCGCCACACTCAAGCATCTTACTCACGAACGTGTTCAAGACATATTTTTTGTTCAACTTTTTTTTGAACAAGTGTTCTTTCTTTAAATAGGGCTGTGACTGTCTTTAATGCACGTGTGGTAGTGTTGTACATATGAAAAAACTGCGTGTACTGCGCTAACCGGTGAAATGTGTAGACGTGAGAATGAGGTTCGACCGACAAAGACTTCCTTCTATTCATTACGGAGGAAATTATGGGAAACTTATGAGGTTTCGAGTCATTCGCAGTTTTTTCAAGAATACAACTCACACCCCCTCCTTCCCCCCACCCGTGTAAAACGAGATATAAGCTGTACTCATTTGTAACGATGTTAGACATCCCTTGGGTATGTCTAACATATTTGAGAACAAAACAGGAGGACTTCTCCACAAATCTGTCTCCTGAAGATGCCGGTTATAATTACTGGCAAAACGTCATACTCAGATTGTAAATGTTGTAGTGGATTTGCTCTCCAACACACAACCGGTGTGTGGCTGGATCAGTAACGAATTGGCACGTTTTGTTTACGTGAAAAACTTTTACTAATTAGCTGTTGGGTGGTGGCGGGTTTAACGACACATTTATGTTATGAGACCTCCTTTGCCAGTAACAAGATATAGGAATAGGTTTTACCCTTTTAACTGGCACAAAAACTGACACCTTTATTCAAGGCATCATGTTTGCAATAACCACAACACAAGCAGTCAAAATGCAAACAAAAAAGACAACTCTGATAATAATATTGGCACTGTCCTTGAATTTGATTGGTTCACACCCGAGACGGCTTTTCTTAGAGCCTAGTCTCCATTGGTGTTGGACCAGAAGATGCCAAAAGGCGTACAACTCAAAAACAGCGTACTATCAGAGTATTGAGGGCTCGGGGTGAGCATTTAGATTATGAGACCTCCTTTGCCAGTAACAAGATATAGGAATAGGTTTTACCCTTTTAACTGGCACGAAAACTGACACCTTTATTCAAGGCATCATGTTTGCAATAACCACAACACAAGCAGTCCAAATGCAAACAACACCATGTGTGACGAGGGGGGGGGGCAAAAATCGTCCAAAATCGCGTGACGTCATTTATGGACGTCCCCTTATATGCGATCTAACCCAAAAAACCCCTCTTATTATGGATAAACACCGTGACCGCCACGAGGGGGCGCTGTGCTAACAAAGCAAACTGGACTTACCGATCTTGCTATTAGCCAATCAAATGAAGGGGTGGGGGGTCGGGTCCACGTCATTAGTCGATCCATGGATCGATTGGTAATGAAGCGACGCAGCGATTAACCCGGTCATTTTTGACGTTTGTTTATGATATTCTCGTGCCCGTTTTTGTACTTAAAGTCTCGTGTCCGACTGTAAAATGTAATTTAACATAACATCGGACATTTTCAAGACGGCTGCCCGATCGACTTTGAGCTGAATTGCCGGGATCGACTGAGCCGAATTCGATAGCGTAATGAACCGAGATTTGCGATTTCACAAGACCGTTTACGGGCAAAGATACGCCCCCATCGACCAATGCCACGCCCACTTTCTTCCATATATTAGGGGGGGGGGCAGGGGGTCAGGGTCAGCAGGTCATTAGTAGGAGTTAAACTGAACTCAACTATTTTTTATTTTACCAGATGTAAGGCCCCACTGAGCTACGTGGCTCTTTTTCAGTAGCGACCCTGCCAATCACAAATGATAGCTCAACGGAGTTGCCTTCTAATTATCATCGTCACGTGTAAAAATCCACGCGACCACGGGGAGAGAGAGACACGCAGACTCCAAAGATACAGCAGGCGTCAGGGTCGGGATCGAACCCACGACCTCCTGTATACCAGGCGAGGTAGATAACATCTCATAGCCACCGTGATGATGATGAGAGAGAGACACCGCAAACTCCAATTATACAGCAGCAGGCGTCGTCTGGGTCGAGATCGAAGCCACGACCTCCTGCATACCAGGCAAGGGAGTTAACATCTTAGTTTCTGTGTCCGCGTGGCTCACATTGTCCAGGAGTAGCTCGTGGCCATGGGGTTGCCCTCGGCTTTGCAAGTGAGATTGACACTCTCTTGACCTTCGCGATGGGGGCCGCCACTGTCCGCGATCGTCAGAGTCAGGTCTAAGCAACAAAAAAAGGGGGGGGGGGGCGGGAGAGAAAAATCATCCATAAATAGAGGATTTTTTTTAACACGTAGCAGTAGTAGTACGGTTTTCGCGACCAATATTATCCTTAATAGAGGTTTTTTGGGGGGTTAGATCCCGTAAATCTAAATGTGGTGTGCGTTAAACCCGCCACCACCCGACACAGCCAATCAGCAAGGGTTTGTCACGAAAAACAGGACGTAGCCAATTGAGATAAATTTAGCTCTGGCCTGATGATGCTGGTTATTGTGATTACTGGCGAAACGTCACGGTACTGGAATTGTAAATGTCGTAGTGGGTTTACTCTCCAACACACAACCGGCGAGTACTCTACTAGTATACTACACTATACACTACACTATACACTACACTATACACTACACTATACACTACACTATACACAATACTGTAATGGTTAATGATGTTGGTTTAATCTCCAACACACAACCGGCGAGTGCTCTACTAGTATACTACACTATACACTACACTATACACAACACTATACACTACACTATACACTACACTATACACTACACTATACACAACACTGTAATGGTTAATGTTGTAGGTTTACTCTCCAACACACAACCGGTGAGTGCTGTACGAGTAATGAATTGGTACGTTTTGTTTACGTGACAAACGCTTGCTGATTAGGCTGTGTCGGGGTGGTGGTGACGGGTTTAACGCACACATTTATGTATTTATGCGATCTACCCCGCCCCCCCCCCCCCCAAAAAAAAATACCTCTGTTATGGTTAAACATTGGTCGCGAAAGCCGACTACAATTACATGTTAAATACAAATCAGCGCTCCCGTAAATAACAACAACACACAAAAATGTGCGTGTGAGTCTAACAGCTGTTTCGCTCTCTGTCTCGTGGAGTGACCCTGTGGGTGATCCGCGTCTCAGGTCTCCGGGTCTCTGAATCACAATCTCTATTTAGACCACATGAGGAATCTGATGAGCTATGAAGCTCTTTTTCACAGATGTCCGGTTTAGGGGCAGAATGGTACACCAACGGACCATACCCACCTCCCTTTCCCTGGCGACAGATTCCAGCACTACTACACTATACACTAATACACTATACTAAACACTACTATATACAACACAATACACTTATACACTACTATACACTACTATATACAACACAATACACTTATACACTATACCATACACTACTATACACTACACTATACATATCTATACACTATACACTACTACACTATAGCAGCGTGTTGAGTAGTGTGGCGGTCCACACCTCCCTGTCCCTGGTGATAGATTCCAGCACTACATTACGATACACCGCTACACTATACACTACTATACACTACATTATACACTACACTACTATACACTACACTATACACTACTATACACTACATTAAACACTACACTACTATACACTACACTATACACTTCTATACTATACACTACACTATAAACTACTATACACTATACAATATTATACACTGCATTCTAAGAAGAATAGGTTTTCCCCTTTCTGATGTAAAAACACCAAACTGAAACCTTTTGCAAGGAATCATGTCTGCACTAACCACACGCAGTGCTTGTGGTGAACAGCAGCATGTCTCTGGTATGGACCAATCAGTTTCAAAGACGATGCATCATATACTGCCAACTCGTTGCATTTTTGCAGCCAAGCGCTCCGCTCGTCGTTGTTGTTGCGAGCGTTGCTCTGCTCCCCCATTGTTGCCAGAGGGTCGACGCGGCTCCCAATCTGCCCAGCAGCAATGTGCACCGCCCCCACCCCCCACCGCCCCCCTGCCCCCCACTTTCACGAGCATCAACAACTCACACTTGACGTCGAGCACGACCGACTGCTCCACTTTCCCCACGCCGCCGGAGAATTCGACGGAGCACGTCAAGGTCTGCCCGTGCATCTCCCGCGTCGGCTTGAGAAAGGCCGTCGACGTTTTGTTCAGGTAGTTTTTCTGCTGCCTCATTGTTCCGTTGGACAGCTTCCACGACATGTCTGCTAAGCTGACGCTCTTCGGTGTCTGGCAGGCGACGGAGGCTTCATCGGAGCCGTCCAAGAGGACGTCGGGTAGAATGATCTTGGGGGATTCTGGGTAAAGGGGGAAGAAAGACAGAAGGGGGATGTTAATTTTTGTTTTTATCGTGGCTGGAGGAATCCCGTGAGATGCTCCAGCTAAGAGGGCGCCCACGGGGTCAGAGGGTTACAACGCCAACAAACGATACAGAAACACGATAGGAGTGAAAGGTATAGGAAAGGTAAACAAATAACTTTGGAAAAAAAATACATACAAATGAAACTAAACTATTTTCTATTTTACTAGGCAAAGGCCCACTGATATATACAGCGCTTTCTGGGTACAAATGATAGCTCAACGAAGTGGCTTATCATCATCACGTGGAATTTCATGTAGCAGCCAAATAAGTATCAATGCGTGGTGGTGACGTCCATTCTAAACGTAGAGGGGAAAAGCGGAAGAACTGGAGAAAAATCCACGCGACCATGGGGAGAGAGACGCAGACTCCAAATATACAGCAGCAGCAGCAGGCATCGTCACAGTCGGGATCGAACCCACGACTTCCTGCTTACCAGGCGAGGTAGTTAACATCTCCTAGCCACCGTAATGAACAATGAGAGAGAGAGAGACACACGCAAACTCCAAATATGCAACAGGCATCGTCAGCGTCGGGATCGAACCCACGACCTCCTTGCATATCAAGCAAGGTAGTTAACATCTCCTAGCCACAACCTCGGGGTGGCACTCACCGTGCACAATCAGCTTGATGATTGTTGTTGTTGACCCCTTGTTGGTGTTGATATTGCATTTGTAGGTTCCTTTGCGGCTCATCATCATGCTCTTCAGCCGGAGGGAGTATAGCATCCCTCCGGAGGTGCTGCTCACAAGCTCCACATTCCTATCGTTGTAAACGGTGTTTGTGCCCCATCTCGAGGCGACGACCTCTGTACAGAAGAAGAAGGAGAGGTAGAAAACAAAAAAACATTTGCAACGTGTGCACCCACTTTCGTAGCGCGCCCGACGGCGGCCGCGGCGCTCAACGATTCATCGGAGACTTTTATTGACGCTGCGGGAGGAGCAATCCGATGAGCCGTGAAGCTCTTTTGTTTCACAGATGTCCAGTCGGGGGGGGGGGGGTGGGGGGCACGCGGTCAGAACGTTACAACGAACATGACTTGTTCAATAAAGACTTTAGCTCTCTCTATCAGTGACGTGCGGTGAGGTCAATGGCTGGGGAGGCACTGGCTAGTGTCAGAGCCAGATTCACACACTGAGGTGGGGGCGTGGCCTCACTGAGGGGGGGGGGGCGTGTACTCACTGAGGGGGGCGTGTTAGACACGTCCCCCTCAGTGAGGCAGATGTGATAGCTGCCTCCCCTGGTGCTTTTTCATTGCAGTTTCATGACGAGACCAGCGAGCCTAAATATCTGTATACACATACGTGAAATAAGTTACCTGGTGTATGGAAGGCGAGGACATGAAATGAAGGGGTCTACAAACATCACATTGGTGACATACTGAGATAGTAACAGGCACACGCTTATTGCCCGTCCTCCATCCAGTTTCTGAGGGGTTGCGCAATCAGAGGGGAGGCTGAGCTCGTCGCTGCCTCACCTCTCATCTCTTCCTGTATTTGCAGCGGAACTCTGCAAATTTGGCGATTTTGACTCTAAATTTTTTTGGAATCGTACAGAAATGTCATTTATAACACAGATCAGTGGAAAAATCTTAATATTTATTTGATTTGATTATTCTTTTTTTTACTTTTCGTAACAACTATTATCATTGGAGTATGATAGGTAAGGCTCTGCCTCCCCTGCCCGCACGTCCCTATATATACATAAAAAATATATAAAAAGTATTTATATTGTACTGTAAAGTAGACGCCCTCTTAAGGACCACCACTGTTAACGACTAATCGCTTATCGACGGGCCTCCATAGAGTCCAATGTGTAGTGTATAGTGTAGTGTATAGGAGCGTAGAGTATAGTAGCATAGAGTACAGTAGTTTAGTATATAGTGTAGTGTATAGTAGCGTAGCGTATAGTAGTATAATGTGTAGTGTATAGTAGCGTAGCGTATAGTAGTATGATTTGTAGTGTATAGTAGTGTAGTGTATAGCAGTGTAGTGTATAGGAATGTAGTGTATTGTAGCATAGTGTATAGGGTAGTGTAGAGTAATGTAGTGTATAGGGTAGTGTATAGGGTAGTGTATAGGGAAGTGTATAGTAGTGTAGTGTATAGGGTAGTGTATAGTAGTGTAATTCCTACATAGAGCCCAATGTGTTCGCTTACTGACCGTTCCCCAGTTAATGACGTGCTGTTGTAGGTACAGTAAATACAATTAATGCATTGATTAACCACGTTTCATTTAAAATTACTTGTTTATAATTTCGTAAGTATTTTTTGCGTATTAATATCCATCGCACTCTTTAGTAACGTAGGTCTTCACCTGAATTCGGTTGCTTGTGTGGCGATCGAAACGTCGTGCTCTATTGTTTTTTCTACCTACGTGACTTTACCGAATGATCTAAAGAGTTTGAATTACTGCGGTCACGAAAGCTTCAAATCAAGAATATCCATCGTGTCAACATTATAAAGTCAGTGTTTTTGGGAGCTGCAAAGGGTTACCTTCGATGCTATCGGTTCAAATTACGCCTTTAATGTGCATTTCCTCGACTCGCTTATCGACCCATTCTCTTGGCGACCAGTTTCTAGGAACCAATAACCGTGGCTGAGAGGGTTTCTACTCTATCACGTGTCTCCTCTATCACGTGTCTACTCTATGACGTGTCTCCTCTATGACGTGTCTACTCTATCACGTGTCTACTCTGTCACGTGTCTCCTCTGTCACGTGTCTATTCTGTCACGTGTCTCCTCTATCACGTGTCTACTCTATCACGTGTCTCCTCTATCACGTGTCTCCTCTGTCACGTGTCTCCTCTGTCACGTGTCTCCTCTATAACGTGTCTCCTCTATCACGTGTATACTCTATCACGTGTCTACTCTATCACGTGTCTCCTCTATCACGTGTCTACTCTATCACGTGTCTACTCTATCACGTGTCTACTCTATCACGTGTCTACTCTATCACGTGTCTCCTCTATCACGTGTCTACTCTATCACGTGTCTCCTCTATCACGTGTCTACTCTATCACGTGTCTACTCTATCACGTGTCTCCTCTATCACGTGTCTCCTCTATCACGTGTCTACTCTATCACGTGTCTCCTCTATCACGTGTCTACTCTATCACGTGTCTCCTCTATCACGTGTCTACTCTATCACGTGTCTACTCTATCACGTGTCTCTATCACGTGTCTACTCTATCACGTGTCTATGACTGTGAGTCGCCCCTTTTTGCAGACGCTGCTCTGGAGTGCAAATCTCCCACAAAAGTGTGCCAGTCAGAATGTGAATCGTTACTTGGACTCCAGGATGAGGAATCCAATGATCTATGAAGCTCTTTGTTTCACAGATGTCCAGCACCGGGGCACGGAGTCAGGGACGTTACATACGACATAATAAACAAGATAGGAGTGACAATTTATGGGAACGGTAAACAGATCACTTACAAAAATCTACACATAAAACTAAACTATTTTTTTTTATCTTACCAGGTAAAATACACTGGCAACAAATGATACTTTAGCAGGGTTGGCTACGTACGGTGCAAAATAAATTCAACACACACACATTAGCATGGTTGGATACGTACGGTGCGAAAAAAGTTTAACACACATACATTAGCATGGTTGGATACGTACGGTGCGAAAGAAGTTCAGCAAACACAACAGGAAGCCACTGGGAGCTAAGCTGCACTTTGACATCCACACAACGATTCCGCGCGACTCTCACCGTCGTCCTTAGTCCACGTGACTTGCGTGCCCGTGTCGGATGAGTCGCAGGCCAGCGTGATGCCGTGACCCACGAAGCCGTGCACGGTGACGTCCTCGCTTGAGATTCCTGCATGTGGCAGGGTGTGGGAGTGTGTGTACACGTGCCAGTGTGCGTGCGTGTCAGTGTATCGGTGTGTCAGTGTATCGGTGTGTGTGTCAGTGTATCAGTGTGTGTGAGTCAGTGTATCGGTGTGTGTGTATTGGTGTGTGTCAGTGTATCGGTGGGTGTGTCAGTGTATTGGTGTGTGTGTGTCAGTGTATTGGTGTGTGTGAGTAAGTGTATCGGTGTGTGTGTCAGTGTATTGGTGTGTGTGAGTAAGTGTATCGGTGTGTGTGTCAGTGTATTGGCGTGTGTGAGTCAGTGTGTCCGTGTGTGTGTCAGTGTATTGGTGTGTGTGTCAGTGTATTGGTGTGTGTCAGTGTATCGGTGTGTGTGTATTGGTGTGTGTCAGTGTATCGGTATGTGTGTCAGTGTATCGGTGTGTGTGTCAGTGTATTGGTGTGTGTGTCAGTGTATTGGTGTGTGTGTCAGTGTATTGGTGTGTGTGTCAGTGTATCGGTGTGTGTGTGTCAGTGTATTGGTGTGTGTGTCAGTGTATTGGTGTGTGTGTCAGTGTATTGGTGTGTGTGTGTCAGTGTATTGGTGTGTGTGTGTGTCAGTGTATCGGTGTGTGTGTCAGTGTATTGTTGTGTGTGTGTCAGTGTATCGGTGTGTGTGTCAGTGTATTGGTGTGTGTGAGTCAGTGTATTAGTGTGTGTAAGTGTATTTGGTGTGTGTGTGTGTCAGTGTATCGGTGTGTGTGTCAGTGTATTGTTGTGTGTGTGTCAGTGTATCGGTATGTGTGTCAGTGTATCGGTGTGTGTGTCAGTGTATTGGTGTGTGTGTGTCAGTGTATCGGTGTGTGTGTGAGTGTATTGGTGTGTGTGTGTGTGTGTCAGTGTATTGGTGTGTGTGTCAGTGTATCGGTATGTGTGTCAGTGTATTGGTGTGTGTCAGTGTATTGGTGTGTGTGTGTGAGTGTATTGGTGTGCGTGTGAGTGTATTGGTGTGTGTGTGTGTGTCAGTGTATTGGTGTGTGTCAGTGTATTGGTGTGTGTCAGTGTATTGGTGTGTGTGTGTCAGTGTATTGGTGTGTGTGTCAGTGTATCGGTGTGTGTGTGTCAGTGTATTGGTGTGTGTGTGTCAGTGTATTGGTGTGTGTGTGTGAGTGTATTGGTGTGCGTGTGAGTGTATTGGTGTGTGTGTGTCAGTGTATTGGTGTGTGTGTGTGTCAGTGTATTGGTGTGTTTGAGTGTATTGGTGTGCGTGTCAGTGTATTGGGGTGTGTGTCAGTGTATCCGTGTGTGTGTCAGTGTATTGGTGTGTGTGTGAGTGTATTGGTGTGTGTGTGAGTGTATTGGTGTGTGTCAGTGTATTGGTGTGTGTGTGTGAGTGTATTGGTGTTTGTGTGTCAGTGTATTGGCGTGTGTGAGTGTATTGGTGTGTGTGAGTGTATTGGTGTGTGTGTGTCAGTGTATCGGTGTGTGTGTCAGTGTATCGGTGTGTATGTGAGTGTATTGGTGTGTCAGTGTATTGGTGTGTGTGAGTGTATTGGTGTGTGTGTCAGTGTATTGGCGTGTGTGTGTCAGTGTATCGGTGTGTGTGTATGTGTCAGTGTATCGGTGTGTGTCAGTGTATTGGTGTGTGTGTCAGTGTATTGGTGTGTGTGTCAGTGTATCGGTGTGTGTGTCAGTGTATTGGCGTGTGTGTGTCAGTGTATCGGTGTGTGTGTCAGTGTATCGGTGTGTGTCAGTGTATTGGTGTGTGTGTGTGTCAGTGTATCGGTGTGTGTGTCAGTGTATCGGTGTGTGTCAGTGTATTGGCGTGTGTGAGTGTATTGGTGTGTGTGAGTGTATTGGTGTGTGTGTGTGTGTCAGTGTATCGGTGTGTGTGTCAGTGTATCGGTGTGTATGTGAGTGTATTGGTGTGTCAGTGTATTGGTGTGTGTGTGAGTGTATTGGTGTGTGTGTCAGTGTATTGGCGTGTGTGTGTCAGTGTATCGGTGTGTGTGTATGTGTCAGTGTATCGGTGTGTGTCAGTGTATTGGTGTGTGTCAGTGTATTGGTGTGTGTGTGTCAGTGTATCGGTGTGTGTGTCAGTGTATTGGCGTGTGTGTGTCAGTGTATCGGTGTGTGTGTCAGTGTATCAGTGTGTGTCAGTGTATTGGTGTGTGTGTGTCAGTGTATCGGTGTGTGTGTCAGTGTATCGGTGTGTGTCAGTGTATTGGTGTGTGTGTGTCAGTGTATCGGTGTGTGTGTGTGTCAGTGTATTGGTGTGTGTGTGTCAGTGTATTGGTGTGTGTGTGTCAGTTTATTGGTGTGTGTCAGTGTATTGGTGTGTGTGTCAGTGTATCGGTGCGTGTGTGTCAGCGTATCGGTGTGTGTGTGTCAGTGTATTGGTGCGTGCCAGTGTATCGATGTGTGTGTGTCAGTGTATCGGTGTGTGTGTCAGTGTATTGGCGTGAGTGTGTCAGTGTATTTGTGTAAGTGTATTGGTGTGTGTGTACGTGTGTGTTGGTAAACATACACATAGGAGCACACATGAACACATGCCAACACACATTGACGTGCTCGTGTGGATCCTCCACATTTAAAATCAACATCACGAGTTTCGTGGAATTTTGGCTGCTGTAAAGTTCCACTTCGTTCAGCTGTCATTTGTGATAGCGAGCTCGCTTCTTAAACAAGAGCTACACATAGCTCAGTGGGGCCTTAAGTGGTAAGATTTTAAAAAAGAGTGAAATATTTTAAATAGTTTACTTGAATTAAGGCTGAGTTGACCTAAGCGGAGGTCCAGAGGCGATGGGGGAACTTGGTTCAGATAATCGCCATTCCGTGGGAGAGTAGCTAAAACTGGTGGCTAGGAGATGTTAACTACCTCGCCTGGTCTACATGAGGTCGTGGGTTCGATCCCGACTCTGACGCCTGCTCCTGCTGTATATTTGGAGTTTGCGTGTCTCTCTCATCATCATCATCACGGTGGCTATGAGATGTTAACTACCTCGCCTGGTATACAGGAGGTCGTGGATTCGATCGCGGACCTTGACGATGCCTGCTGCTGTATATTTGGAGTTTGCGTGTCTCTCTCTCTTATCATCATCACGGTGGCTAGGAGATGTTAACTACCTCGCCTGGTATACAGGAGGTCGTGGGTTCGATCCCGGACCCTGACGCCTGCTGCTGCTGCTGTATATTTGGAGTTTGCGTGTCTCTCTCTCATCATTATCACGGTGGCTAGAAGTTAACTACCTCGCCTGGTCTACAGGAGGTCGTGGGTTCGATCCCGACCCTGACGCCTGTTGCTGTATATTTGGAGTCTGCATCTCTCTCTCTCTCATCATCATCACGGTGGCTAGGAGCTGTTAACTACCTCGCCTGGTCTACAGGAGGTCGTGGGTTCGATCCCGACCCTGACGCCTGTTGCTGTATATTTGGAGTCTGCGTCTCTCTCTCTCTCATCATCATTTGTGATGGGACACGTCGCTTCTGAAATAAGAGCTACTAAGCTCAGTCGGGGCCCTTCACCTTATAAAATAAAAATCATAGTTTTAGTTTAATCTCCACGCTGCATCTCCCCCCCCACCTCCAACACCCACCACCCCTCCCCCAGCACGCAAAAAAAAAGCATCGATGGTAACGATCTTCCGTTGTTGAGTAGAGGGGAAACATTCGGTCAAACTCTCGAACTTTTATCTGAAACGTGCAGTGCCCCGGCCACAAAACCCACTCACGCCTCTCACAGCGCGTGAAGGGTGACCGCCACGGCTCACGCAAACTTCACATCGACGTACAAACACAAAACGGTGTTCTTCCAAATGTTCGTCGTTCTGTGCGCGTGCGTGTGTGCGTGCACAATGTTGCACGGTACGTAGCCAACCGAGCTGATCGCACAACGACACTTCATCGCTATCGTGAAGACAGAACCGTTCGCATCATTGGACAATGAATAGAAATAACAGGATCATGAAGACGACCGTTTGAGTTATGGTCGAAACGTCGTGAGAATTTTTTTAATTGTTTTATATATATTTTATTATTTTGTTGTTTCCCTTCAACGTGACTTTACCGAAAAAACTAAGAATAAGGATCATAGAGCTTTGGTTTTTTTTTTACGGGGTCATATCGCGTGAATATATTCAATGCGGTGTCGTGAAACCCGCCACCACCCGACACAGCCAATCAGTAAAGGGGTTTGTCACGTGAACAAAACGTGGCCAATTCGTTACCAGTACAGCCACACACCGCTTGTGTGTTGGAGAGTAAACCCACTACGACATTTACAATTGTAGTGTAGTGTAATGTGTAGCATATAGTAGTGTAGTGTATAATAGTGTAGTGTATAGTGTAGTGTATAGTTGTGTAGTATATACAGTGAGGGAAACATGTATTTGATCCCCTGCTGATTTTGTACGTTTGCCCACTGACAAAGAAATGATCAGTCTGTAATTTTAATGGTAGGTTTATTTGAACAGTGAGAGACAGAATAACAACAACAAAATCCAGAAAAACGCATGTCAAAAATCTCATAAATTGATTTGCACCGGATGCTGGTTGTAATTACAGGCGAAACGTGGCAGTCGAATGTCTAAATGTTGGAGTGGCCTCCCTCTCCAATCCACAACCGGTGTGTTGGAGAGAGACAAATAGTCATGTTCCGTTCCCGTGTCAAACCTCACGAATTGAACCTTGTGGCGGTACCCTGGGGTCCCATCGTGCCCCCGGCTCTCGCATAATGTCCGCGATGCGGTCATTCTCAAGTCAATCGACTCATCTCGACGAGCTGTCGACGATGCGCCACTACGGTGCGTACGAGCGTTCGGGGGTTTCGGCGCAATGGTCCTCGCTGCGTGTCGACATCGCGGAGTGTGGCACCACCGATGTCGGATTGATTGGTAACCCCAGTCGCGGAGTGAAGTACACCCCTGGGGAAAAAAATAGTGTCCCAGAAATAACATATTTCATTGCCTCGGTCGTTTTTTTATATATATATGGTACCCCCGGGGCACCGCCAAAAGAACCAATTGGTCGTGTCGGAGGTTTAACGTCACGTTTATATTTACGCGATCCAGCCCCCCCCCCAAAAAAATATATGTGTGGATCATATTGGTGCGCGAAAGCCTGCTACCGCGTGTTAAAAACAGGTCCCTGCAGGGTGGGCTGGTAGGACAAGTCTCTGCGCTGTCTATTGCTGATTTTACACCCAACAGCACGAGATTTCACTTCGTTAAAGTATTGAAAGGGGACGGACGGACGGACACATTAATCTATTGCAGGCTGGTACACTCAGTTTACAACTTCGTTCCTACCAGTATAAATGACAGCATTTCCCCTTTTAGTATTCGCGTTGTGTGCCACGATGTAATGTTGCGTCCAGCGAGCAACCCACCCCCGCCATCGAGGGAGAGCGGAGGGAGAGCGGATAGAGAGCGGGGCCATTCCAGAATAGAGTCGTTTGCGGTGTCTCTCTCTCTCTCTTTCTCTCCCCGTGGTCGTGTGGATTTTACCCCGGGTCCTCCGGTTTTCCTCTCAGCATTTAGAATCAATACCGCCTCGCGTTTCGAGAGTCATTTGCCTGCTGCCGTCAATTTCCACGTGGTGAAAAGCCACGGTGACTATGAGATGTTAACTACCTCGCCTGGTGTACAGGAGGTCGTGGGTTCGATGGCGACCCTCACGCCTGCTGTGTATTTCGAGTCTGCGTGTCTCTCTCTCTCTCTCGTGGTCGCGTGGATTTTACCCCGGGTCCTCCGATTTTTCCCCTCCACGTTTAGAATCAACATCACCACCACGCGTTCGTAGATTATTTGTCTGCTGCTATAAATGTCCACGTGGTGGTGATGATGATGATGATGAGCGACCACTTTGTCGAGCTATCATTTGCGATTTGCCAGGTCGCTTTCGAAAAAGAGCTACAGAACTCAGTGGGCCCTTACCTGGCAACTATTACTTTATTCAACCCGTGAACCAACGTTGCCGCTCTACACATCCTTGTGTGACTCGAGTTAGTTTCGGGTTAGAGAGAAGACGGGAGATGGAGCGTTAACTTCGCACTCGCTCGCCGTGTTTAACTGTGCCGTGCACAGGCTGTGGGCCAAGAAAAGTGTCTCGGCTTGCACGCATCACACACCACGAAGGCAGAGGAATAGTGTTGCGTCGTGGCGGTGGCATGAGACTCTAGCCGGGTTCCTTCCTTTAAAATCGTGTGATCGTGAGATCTGATGGTTGCTTGTGGTCGTGGTTGAAGTTACCCAGCGGCGTGAGCCAGCACTTGCATGGTTGCAGCACTTATCCATAACTAACACGAACTTAATTTTTTTAATTTTCTAGACTATGAACTACTTTTATTTTACCAATTAAGGGCCCCACTCAGATATAGCTCTTTTTATCTCAGAAGCGACCTGGCCACAAATGATAGCTTAACCAATTGGCTCGTCATCATCACGTGGAAACTTATAGCAGTAGCCAAATACTTCAAAAACGCGCGAATGTTGATGATAAATGTGGAGGGGAAAAACCGGAGGAAACGGAGGGAAATTCACGCGACCAGGGGAGGGAGAGAGAGAGAGACACAAACTCCAAATACACAGCAGGTGTCAGGGTGGGGATCGAACCCACGAACTCCTGTAGATCAGGCGAGGTAGTTAACATCCCCTAGCCACCGTGATGATGAGAGAGAGAGAGAGAAAAAGAGACACAAACTCTAAATACACAACATTGCCCATAGACTAACATTGTCCAGAGACTAGCATTGCCCATTGACTGGCATTGGCCATAGACTAACATTGCCCATAGACTAACACTGTCCATAGACTAACATTGCCCATAGACTAACATTGCCATAGACTAACATTTGCCCATAGACTAACACTGCCCATAGACTAACATTGCCCATAGACTAACATTGCCCATAGACTAACATTGCCCATAGACTAACATTGCCCATAGACTCACACTGCCCATAGACTCACATTGCCCATAGACTAACATTGCCCATAGACTAACATTGCCCAGAGACTAACATTGCCCATTGACTAACACTGCCCCGTAGACTAACATTGCCCATAAACTAACATTGACTCTAGACTAACATTGCCCATAGACTAACATTTGCCCATATACTAACATTGCCCATAAACTAACATTGCCCACAGACTAACATTGCCCATAGACTAACATTGCCCATAGACTAACATTGCCCATAGACTAACATTGCCCATAGGCTAACATATACACTGCACTACAATTGTAAATGTGTGTAGTGGGTTTGCTCTCCAACCTACAACCGGTGATGAGTGCTGTTCTAGTATACTACACTATATACTATACTACAATTGTAAATGTTGTAGTAGTTTTATTATCCAACACACAACCGGTAAGTCCTGTACTAGAATCGGCAGGTTTTCTTTACAGTGAGGGAAAAAGTATTTGATCCCCGGCTGATTTTGTACGTTTGCCCACTGACAAAGAAATGATCAGTCTATAATTTTAATGGTAGGTTTATTTGAACAGTGAGAGAGAATAACACCCAAAAAATCCAGAAAAACGCATGTCAAAAATGTTATACATTGATTTGCATTTTAATGAGGGAAATGAGTACTTGACCCCTCTCAATCAGAAAGATTTCTGGCTCCCAGGTGTCTTTTATACAGGTAACGAGCTGAGATTAGGAGCACACTCTTAAAGGGAGTGCTCCTAATATAAGCTTGTTACCTGTATAAAAGACACCCGTCCACAGAAGCAATCAATCAATCAGATTCCAAACTCTCCACCATGGCCACGGCCATAGAGCTCTCCAAGGATGTCAGGGACAAGATTGTAGACCTACACAAGGCTGGAATGGGCTACAAGACCTTTGCCAAGCAGCTTGGTGAGAAGATGACAACAGTTGGTGCGATTTTTCACAAATGGAAGAAACACAAAAGAACTGTCAATCTCCCTCGGCCTGGGGCTCCATGCAAGATCTCACCTCGTGGGGTTGCAATGATCATGAGAACGGTGAGGAATCAGCCCAGAACTACACGGGAGGATCTTGTCAAAAATCTCAAGGCAGCTAGGACCATAGTCACCAAGAAAACAATTGGTAATACACTACGCGGTGAAGGACTGAAATCCTGCAGCGCCCGCACGGTCCCCCTGCTCAAGAAAGCACATATACATGCCCGTCTGAAGTTTGCCAATGCACATCTGAATGATTCAGAGGACAACTGGGTGAAAGTGTTGTGGTCAGATGAGACCAAAATGGAGCTCTTTGGCATCAACTCAACTCGCCGTGTTTGGAGGAGGAGGAATGCTGCCTATGACCTCAAGAACACCATCCCCACCGTCAAATATGGAGGTGGAAACATTATGCTTTGGGGGTGTTTTTCTGCTAAGGAGACAGGACAACTTCACCCCATCAAAGGGACGATGGACGGGGCCATGTACCGTCAAATCTTGGGTGAGAACCTCCTTCCCTCAGCCAGGGCATTGAAAATGGGTCGTGGATGGGTATTCCAGCATGACAATGACCCAAAACACACGGCCAAGGCAACAAAGGAGTGGCTCAAGAAGAAGCACATTAAGGTCCTGGAGTGGCCTAGCCAGTCTCCAGACCTTAATCCCATAGAAAATCTGTGGAGGGAGCTGAAGGTTCGAGTTGCCAAACGCAGCCTCGAAACCTTAATGATTTGGAGAAGGTCTGCAAAGAGGAGTGGGACAAAATCCCTTCTGAGATGTGTGCAAACCTGGTGGCCAACTACAAGAAACGTCTGACCTCTGTGATGCCAACAAGGGTTTTGCCACCAAGTACTAAGTCATGTTTTGCAGAGGGGTCAAATACTTATTTCCCTCATTAAAATGCAAATCAATTTATAACATTTTTGACATGCGTTTTTCTGGATTTTGTTGTTGTTATTCTGTCTCTCACTGTTCAAATAACCCTACCATTAAAATTATAGACTGATAATTTCTTTGTCAGTGGGCAAACGTACAAAATCAGCAGGGGATCAAATACTTGTTTTTTCCCTCACTGTACATGACAAACCTTACCCATTCAAGGCCGTTTCGGGTGGTGGCCCGGTTTAACGAAATTCATATTTTACGCAATCTCACCCGACAACCATCGATTATGGATGATATTTGTCGCGTTCGCCCGCTACTATAACGTGTCAAACTGATGTTCAAACACCAAGTGTTCCGTATCTACTTGCAGTGGTTCGTCTTGACCTGACGTGCTCCACGCATTCCCTGTGCGTGCGAGATGCCCTTTCTGGGTGTGCGGCCAGATTCTTCGTCGAGAGGGTAAATCGTTTAAAATACAAATTTCATTCAAAGAAAGCACAACGACGTTGTTTCATCAAAGCCTCTGGCTTTATTAACTGCACACGTAGTTTTTTTTTCTCTCTTTTACGTTGGCTCGCAGTCGAGGTCAAGGAACCGCTCGCTGATCGTCTCCATCAGCAGCATCAGCAGCAGCAGCCATCCAACAGAATGAAGAAGACGCTCAGAGCCTCCACCCACGGCGGATGATGTCTCTACGAATGAGCCGTATGTCGTGACCCGTGTAGCCGCATGGGTCCCGACATAAACGAAAGTCAAAATTCGTAAATGAATGAATTTCTGGCGACTCCGTCCCACCGCGCACACGAATTCAAGCCTGGCCCGGATCGTTCCGTTCTCGTGTCGCGTCCAAGCGCAGCAGCAGCAGCAGCGCGGACGAATGCCGCCGTCATGAACAAACACTTTGATCAGCGCGCCGTGTGGAGCTCGTCGAGAGGAACGAATCGCCGTGGCGTTCGCCTTCAACAGACATTCAACGACGTCGCAACGCAGTTGACGCGAGAGCCGGGGGCTTACGGGACCCCGGGGTCCCCCCATAAGGCTCACTTGGATCACTCTGCAGCATTGACAAACCAAGCACCCCCCCAGCCCCCCTCCCCCCCCCCAGACTAATAACAAGAGACAACATAGAACAGCACTGACCGTGGAGAAGACTTAAAACGAGGAAGAGGGCCGGTCCGACGACACCCATGGCCATCGCGAAACGGCGAGCCTCACGTGCCGCTGTCTGCCCTGGTTGGTGCTGCTGCTGCTGCCGGCCGATTCTGAGAGGGGTGAGGCAGTTTCAGCTTGGGGGGGGGGGGGGTTCTCTCCCTCCTCCTCCTCTGCTATTCCTCCTCCTCCTTCTAAATGCGTCATTACACCCTTGACACCACCCACACACATCACGTAGACACGCGTACGGCAGAATGTAATGCGTGATATTTATTCGCACGCATCTCGACGTTGAAGCTTTCGTGACTGCGGGAATTTCGTTGAAGCCAAGCGATCGCTTGCGTTGTGATCAAAACGTCGTCGTAGTAGTGGTTTCTTTCGTGTGATTTTCGTTCAACCCCATCTACGTGACTTCACCGAAAGAACCAAACAAAAATACGTACGCACTTTGGCACAAAGATAAACATTCCCCATAATGCAAACGGTTTTTTGTTGTTGTTGTTGTCGTGGAGAGTTTTTATTGTTAAATCCTGCCACCACCAAAGTTTGTCACGTAAACCAAAACGTGGCAATTAGTTACGAGTCGAGCACTAACCGTCTATGTGTCAAAGAGTAGACCCACACACTCATTTAAAATTCGAGTAGCAGTCGCGAACAGCCTATACTTGTTAAACAAAGATCCCCCGTGTAGCCTCAACAGACTGTTGGGGCAAGTGCTGTAAGCGAGTAGCAGCAGCACCTATTGAAGGCCGGCACGGCACACGAGGGCGTGGGTGGCCAGCACCACGCCCGGCCGCCTTTGTCTCTCTCGTGGCGATGATTAGACACGTCAAGCAGCTACTCATACACGGTGGTGTTATTGACACGGGATGTAGAGAGTTGATTTTGTTTTAATTTTAAAAAAAATCACTATGAGAAGCGTTAAAACGGTGGCTAGGAGATGTTAACTACCTCGCCTGGTCTACAGGAGGTCGTGGGTTCGATCCCGACCCTGGCGCCTGCTGCTGTATATTTGGAGTTTGCGTGTCTCTCTCTCTTTCATCATCATCACTGTGGCTAGGAGATGTTAACTACCTCGTCTGGTATGCAGGAGGTCGTGGGTTCGATCCAGATCCTGGCGCCTGCTGCTGTATATTTGTAGTTTGCGGTGTCTCTCTCATCATCATCACTGTGGCTGGGAGATGTTAACTACCTCGCCTGGTATGCAGGAGGTCGTAAGGTTCGATCCCAACCCCTGACGCCTTCTGCTGCTGTATATTTGGAGTTTGCGGTGTCTCTCTCATCATCATCACTGTGGCTGGGAGATGTTATCTACCTCGCCTGGTATGCAGAAGGTCGTAAGGTTCGATCCCAACCCCTGACGCCTTCTGCTGCTGTATATTTGGAGTTTGCGGTGTCTCTCTCTCTCTCCCATGGATTTTTCTCCAGGTCCTCCGGGGTTGTCCCTCTACATTGAGAATGAACGTCACCACGTGTTTAGAGTGTTTGGCTGCTCGATATTTCCACGTGATGATGATGATGATAAGCCACTTCGTTGAGCTATCATTTGTGGCCAGATCGCTTCTGCAAAAGGGCCACACAGTTCAGTGGGGCCTTACCTGGTACAATGAAAAATAAGTTTAGTCGTAAAGAGTTTAAAATGAGAATAAGTTTTCCCCTTTCATGGACGTGAAACAGAAGTTGTGTTAAGATGTTCAAACATCAAATAGAAACGCTTTGCAAGGAATAAAGTTTACTGCATTGGCCAGACACGCTACTGAACATGCAGACAAACTGATAATAACAATAACATATGATGCATTGTCTTTGAACATATTAACACTTACTGTTTTATTGCCAGAAAGGGTAAAAAAAACCTATTCTTTTCTTTCATACTTGTTACTGGCAAAAAGGTCACGTAGATATAAGAGAGAGTCGCTGAACGTCTCTATACGATATTTAAATAATAAATAAAGTACTAAAGTACTAATTGCTCCGAGTGGCGAAGAACGTGCTCGCGATGACTTCCCGCTCGTGTCAAACGGCCTCGTACAAGATGCGGATGCAGGCTCGCGAACAAAGACCGCAGAATCCTGCTAAAGAAAAAGAAACCCCTAAAAGACAAAGATCCCCCGTGTAGCCTGGAACAGACTGTAGGGGCAAGTGCTGTTAGCGAGCAGCACCTACGAAGGCCGGCACGGCGCACGAGGGGGTGGGTGGCCAGCACCACGCCCGGCCGCCTTTGTCTCCCCGGTGGTGATGTTGTCACACCGCACCAGGTACTCATTTCAGGCTGAGTAGACTTAAATAAAACCAACAAAGACAAAGAGCCCCCGTATAACCTCAACAGGTTGTTGGGGGCAAGTGCTGGCATGGCACACGAGGGGGTGGGTAGCCAACACCACGCCCGGCCGCCTTTGTCTTACTAAGTGGCGATGTTTACTACACACCGCACCAGGTACTGATTTGAGGCTGAGTCGAAGTAGGGCAGGCCCAGGACCGGTTCAGGTAATCGTCACCGGTGTTGGCCGTGAGCGGGAATCGAACTCGGGTTGCCGGGTTCGTAGCGCAGCGTAGCGCTAACCGCTGCACCACCGCTCATCACACAAAAACAAATAGACACACAAACCCGACTGAAAGTAGCGACTAACAGGGGGTAGTTGGGCTCGTGAGGTTCTCCGGTTTGGTCTCAGCAGTAGCAAAAAAAGAATTGGTAAAAAAAAGCCGTAGTTGTTCGATGCACACACTTTTTTTTGCACTCAAAAGTGTAAACTAAATTATTTTGACCCCAGAATTAATCAAATTTTACGTGCTGAATACAAGCGGGTGGCTTCCTTTCGATGTTCACTTTTCTTTATGCAAGCCACCCACTTTTATTGAGCACAACAATTTTCATAAATTCTGGGGTAAAAATAATTTATTTTCTACTTTTGCGTGCAAAGTGTGTGCATTGAAAAACGAGGTTTTTTTTCAACCAAATTTTATTTTTCCGTGAAAACGATTGAAACAATTTTACTGCTATTTTATTTGACCAAGGTAAGGCCCACTAGAGCTATACAGCATTTTTTCAGAAGCGACGTGGCCACAAATGATAGCTCAGCAAAAAAGTCCACACGAACACGGTGAGCACATGCAAACTCCAAATATACAGGCGTCAGGGTCAGGATGGAATCCACGACCTCCTGTACACCACGCGAAATAGTTAACATCTATACAATTTTTTAGAATCTATCGAAGTTGAGAAAATTAAAAAAGAATTGTTACCGTTCGGATAGCTACAGGCTTAGTGCTGCTTGGAAGCGAATCGTCAAATAATACATTCATGATAGAGGTTTTTTTTGGGTTAGATCGCGTAAAAATATATAAATGTGTCGTTAAAACCCGCCACCACCCGACACAGCCGCTATTAAGGATTGTTACGTAAACAGAACGTGGCCAATTCGTCGCTAGTACAGCACACCTCTGTGTTGGAGAGCCAAGCCACAACATCACAAAATGTGCATGCATAATGTACGTTGGTCACCACATCTACGCCGCTACATAGGGAACGAGTCAGGTCGGAGTCAGATTGTAAATGTTGTGGCTTGGCTCTCGAACACACCGGTTAGTGCTGTACTGGTATACTACACTATACTACACAATATAGTACTATACACTAGTATACACTATACACTAGTATACACGACTATACACTACACTATACACTACACTATACTATATACAACACTACTATACACTACACTACTATACACTACACTACTATACACTACACTATACACTACAATACTATACACTACACTATACACTACACACTATACACTACACTATACACTACACTATACACTACACACTAGTGCTGTACTAGTATACTACACTATACACTGCTATACACTACACACTAGTGCTGTACTAGTGACGAATTGGCCACGTTCTGTTTACGTGACAATCCTTACTAGTTGGCTGTGTCGGGTGGTGGCGGATTTAACGACACCACATTTATATATTTACGCGATCTAACCCCCCAAAAAAACTTCTATTGTAGATGATATCGGTCGCGAAAGCCTACGTGTTAAAAATAATACGTTGTTTAAATGCATGCCTATACATTGTGGATTACCTGTACGCACACAATGACAGGTGCTGATATTTTAGTGCACGCAAACGACAGGAGGTACAACGTACATCACACGTGCACATTGTGCACATTGTGCACGTGTGATGTACGTTGATTACCAGATGAATAACCCAATCGCTAATGGGTAAAACCCATTGTAATGTAGATGCATTCATGAATGCCCCCTCCTGCCCCCTTCGCACGTGAAGGGTTCACAAGTGACGTCATCACACCTACCGCTCTGTTTAAGGAACGGAACAGGGGGAGGATTTCTCCACAAGCCTGGCTGCTCTCCGCCTGGTGATGCTGGTTGTAATTACTGGCGAAACGTCACGGGGCTCAGATTCTCTTTGGTTCTGTCGGTAAAGTCACGTAGTTAGAAATAAAATAAAATAATAAAAAAATCACGACATTTCGATCACAACGCAAGCGGTCGTCATCAGGCCTGATGGCGACCGCTTGCGTTGCGATCGAAACGTCGTGATTCGTTTTATTTGATTTCTACCCACGTGATGACTTTACCGAAAGAACCAAAGAGTATGGATTCCTGCAGTCACGAAAGCTTCAAATCAAGATCGGTGCTCAGATTGGAAATGTCCTGGGTTTGCTCTCCAACACAGCGATGAGTGCTCTACTAGTAACGAATTGGTACGTTCTGTTTGCGTGACAAACATTACTGAATGCCGGTGTTGGGTGGTGACGGGTTTAACGACACATTTATATTTACGTGATCTAACCCCAACAAACCTCCCTATAAGTGTGTAACAATAATGCAAAAAACATAATACAGGTTTTTTTTTGTCTTCTTTGGTTCTTTCAGTAAAGTCACGTTGAATGAGAATATAATAATAAAATAAAATAATAAAATTCTCACGACGTTTCGGCCACAACACAAGCGGCCTTCTTCAGGTGAAGGAACAAAAAACTGTTGGGACGACAGAGCTCCAATTTCGTCCCGACAGTTTTTTGTTCCTTCACCTGAAGAAGGCCGCTTGTGTTGTGGCCGAAACGTCGTGAGAATGTTATTGTTTTATTTTATTATCATTCTACGTGACTTTACAGAAAGAACCAAAGAAGATGAATCCTTGCAGTCACGAAAGCTTTAAATCGAAACAGGCTGTTTGGTTAGATCGCGTAAATTCATATTTACGCATATTATGGTTGTATTATGGATAACATTGGTTGTGAAATCCTACATGTTAATAATGCGAAAGCGTGTCAGAATAATATAATAGTGTGTCGTAATAATAATAGAATAGTGTGTAATAATATAATAGTGTGTAATAATAATATAAAAGTGTGTAATAATAATAAACTAGAGAGAGAAAAACCCCACGCACAGGAAATGGAACAAGAAACCAGAATCTCAACCCACAAGGTGCAG